ATGTATTTTATACGTAAAACGTGTCTTTTTTATATGATTGGTACGTTCCTATTTTTCAGTGCTTAATGTTTAACTTTGTCCACAAAACTTAGGCTCCTGACCTATGTTACTTCTAGTTCGTATCAGTAACAAGTTGTAAAAAGTGTGTCGTATTGTTTAATTTGTAAGCAGCTGAAAAGCATCCACTATATAACAAGAAGGAGCTCACACTATCCTAATGCACCTATTATTTTTGCCCTCTTTAGTTTTCTCACTTGTAGGATGTTTAAGGCCATATTATATCTGACGATGAGACTATCTGAGCCTTGGATTGGCAGACTCTGTTGAATAATGAATAAAGTGTGATGCTCAGCTGGTAGACCACCTCATCAGTAACTGTTTGGAAACTGGTTCTAACATATTATATATATTGGATATCGGTGACATGTAAACATACGCTGACTGATTGAAATCACTTCATTATTACCCTAATTATTTGCTTAAATGAGAAGGAAAAATAACTTGGCTCTGAGCAACCCAGAAAATATAATCTGGAAAAGCGGACGGGTGGAAACAAAGCTTAGTATTAGTTAAGTGAAGGAAGTGACCCTCAATTTATTCAGTTGATAGCGATTGGTTCTTCTTTTTGTTCGGTGGTTGTTCTGAACATCTCCGTCTTCTCCATGTTCACTTATGCTCCTGTTTTCATCACTTCTTCGTGAAGTTTGTTGGTTTTCACCTGTAAGTCTTCCAATTGATGTGACATGAGACACAGATCACCTCCGAATTCTAGATATTTTAGAGTCGGCTTATCTGGCGAAAGTGTTGCTGCTTTCTCTCTTTTCCGGATTCTCTGCGTTATCCAGTCCACTACAATCAGAAATGTCGACGATGAGAGTAGACGGTCTCATCTTTATCCTGGTTTCACTTCAGAGGCTTCGTTGAATCTTTTGTCGTGGATTACTTGACGTGTAGCATTGTCATATAACTGCTAAATAGATTTAACAAAGCTCTGGGTCACGCCATAGTGCTGAAGTATTTTGATTGTATTCAATAATTGTCTTTATTTTTCAAGTGTTGGTTTTGTAGAGAGTTTGTTTGATTGGTTGAAGGATTCTGTCTAACAAAACAAGTCAAACAGAATCCCTGCAAAAACCAATACTTGAAAATTAATCTGATGCTGACTAGAGACTGGCCTTATTCAAGCAGTTAACATGGGTTTCTAGTGGGAAACCGTAACCAGTAGGGTACAGCAGGTTAAAGGTGAGGCAGTAACTCATAGAAAAAGACATTTCGAAGTGGTCGCGATATGTCGGGAATTGGTAGAAGTTATAATTCATGGACTGGCCATTGCATCGGGTGTGTCCCAGGAGCGTGTCTAGTAGCTCGCTCGCCTTGTAACCACAAGATTCTAGGTTCAAACTTAGCCGGTGGGTGTGTACTGATGAAGAGTTCCAAAGAAAGAGGACCAAACGGCTGTCCAGTACTACCAGCTGGTTTTCCAATGGTTCTGTAACTGATATCAGTTCATAATGAAATCCTGTAAACAATGAAGTATACGTTTCATCGAGGAGTATTGAGTCATGTACAACAGTGTGAGAGATATATAATTGTCACAAAATATACACAAACAAATACCAACAAAAGAAGAACACTGAATGTAAATTAGAGGGCAGATAGATAACAAGTGTAATGAAAAAAATTTTTTTCCTTCACGTTCCCCAGTGGAGCATAGGGCTTCAAACCAGGGGCTTGACGTTTCTGTAGCAGTGTTTATTTTACAGGATGGGTTGCTAGCCAGCCTCATGCCCAACCTTTCCTCTTTACCAGCATTATTTCTGGCTCAGTGAGGTAAAGGAGTGGGTCGACCGGGGATTGAACCAAGGACCATGTGCATGGTCCGTGAGCGTTCTAACCACCATAACAAGACGCACCAAAACCTGGGAGTACTGGATAGGTGTTTCGTCCTAGTTTGGGACTCGTCATCAGTAGGCACCCACCGGGACTCGAACTCAGGACCTTCTGGCTAAAAGGCGAGCTCTTAGACCACTAAGCCACTGGGACCCATGGTAGCCTAAACTTCCCTCTTTTTTGTCGGGATTATAACCGACACACACGCCGGCAAGGAATCAAACCCCAGACGATGTGTAGGGTTGGCCAACAAAATAACTGACGGTAACATCTTATTTTGTATTAAGTGTTATTCTAGCTTTATTCAGATCCCCTTTTTTTCCACCTACTATCCACTGGCCAGTAAGTAAACAAAATGAGCTTTTGGGAGAGCTCAGCTCGTCAGCCGAGAACTGAAACCCGACTGTCCCACACCATGAACACAATCGATGCACTAATAAACTCATACAAAAGACGAAGTCAGGACTGTTAAGCTCGTATAGAGTTGTGATGGGAAATATTGTGATGACATACCTTTCCAATCTAATCCCATAACAGTCATCACGATTACTCGACAAGGAAGGCGATGGACTCAAAGTATACGTAACACCTATCCTAGGTCATTTCAACAGATGCGATTTCACAACCACTACTCCTGATTTCATCGTACTAGACCACTCGACACAGGAAGTGGAACGCAGGCGACAATTATGGTCAAAGATGATTAGTCTTTCTTCAGGTCTTCCACTTTCAACCATCATGTTTCACAGTCATCAGAAAACGGTCAGTATAGAACGTCACTCCACCAGATAACAACACCTTTCTAAACACGTGGACGTGGGGCTTCTCACAGCTGTTCAGGATTCAAATTTCACTCTATTATTCCACTTTAGCCTGAATAACTACTACTATTTCTTCTACAGGTTGGGAGTAGTATCATGAATTCTAAAATTAAAATATGTGGCTCCTTTATAATAAATAGCCCAGTATACACATCAAGAATTGATCTGTCTAGGGTGAATTCAAAAAAAAACAATCAATAAAAAAACGAAAAAAAAGCATTATCGAAAGAAAGCAAAAATGGTGAGGTTAAATTGTAAACTATAATGAAATACTTGAGACATGATGAGTTTAATGTAAATTAAGAAGGTTGACACATAATAAGGATGATAATAATGGAATAGAGTGAACTAGGTGAAACGGAATAAGAAAGGCATAATATGACATGAAGATATAAGATGGTTACATCGCTAACCAGGGTAAACAAAGAGGAGTAATGTGCTTCGTTCGCACACATAGGTTAGTTATCTTCTTTTTAGTCTGTATAGCTTTGGTTGTGGCCAGCAGGCGTAATCGTGTGTCTTTAGGCAGATTGTTTGGTAGGTGATATGCAATCGTAAATGACTCATCTATTTTGTTGCAGTGCTTTCTGTCCACCGGATGAGATAAATACCACCATTTAGGGATTAAGTTACTTTTTTTTAAAGCCAAACGGAAGGATGTTCACGAGTGCGTAAAGATAAATTCCTCTAAATTCAACCTATATAACTAGCTCTAAATAAGCAGTTGAATTTGTATACACTCATTGATGCAACCGTTTTTGGTAGTTTATTTTTAGTGCCCTGTGTTAGTAGGGGTTTGGTTGAGAAACTGACGTGTTGTTCTGCAGCAGTGAAAGTTCTTTCAGTTGATCTGATCAACCTACGGCTTAACACCTCACTGGATATCTTGCCTTTGAAATGCACCCTTAAATAAAGCCTTTTCTTACTCACCGTGTTCCACCAAAATCTTATCAGTACTTATGAGAATGTACCTCTTTACAAAACTGGTGGGATAACTATTTTGTAGCAGAGTACTATTAAGATTTTCGATATCATTTTCAATACAATCCTCGGTACATATTTGTCTAATTCTATGACTAAAACAACGAATTAAATTCGGCTTCTTATAATTACCCTTAGAAATTAATTGCACTTCGAAACTAAAATGTCCACGTCACAGTTTTTAAAAAATTTCAACTCGATCGCCACATGTGAGAACTAACTGTAGGATTGAGAATACACCAAGGTGAGTTTACTGGCAGTCATTAGTTCAATTCTAGGGGTTCATTTTCACTGATTCCATTCTAGCATCCACATTTCAAGCAGACTGATGTTTAGCGCTTTGAGGAGTAAAGCATCAAAGCATAAAATGAAACATTTTCATTCTCGAACTCCCTCAAATATCCTCTTAATTTCTAAATTTTTATTATTTTATTCATTTGCATTCCCAGAGGCCTTCATCTCTGAAGTTTCAGTAAGCGGTGTTAGTTTCCACGGAGTGGGCTTGCTAATCCTACTCCCGACTTTCACTCTTTGCCGGGTTTAATGATGGCTAAGCGTGGTTTGGGAGTACGTCGGTCTTAGGTCGAACTTCAATTCACATGCATAGTTGGCAAGTATTCAACCCTTGAACCAGTAAGGCACCTTTAGTTGCTACTTTATGATTAATTAAGTCGTTCATCCTCTCCTTAAAGTATTGTGTTATTAGATACGATATAACCTTCCTAAATAAGTAGTCCAGTTATTCTTAATCTGTGGCTATGCGAAACATTCACTTTGAAAAAGCGACATACACTTGGTTTTGTATAGATGTTATGCTTATACTATTTCTTATCTTTTCAGCCAATGAATAAATTAGTGTTTTATTGAAACTTATCATAAAATTGCTTGGTAAATTTTTGACTCGAAGAATAAAAATCAGTTTATTCCAGGTTCAAATAAGTTATTCGTGTTTCCGCTACGCTGATTGGTTAAGTGGTTACTAATGGTAATCTGAATGGACTATGATTGGCGGAAAAGTGAAAATAGCTTATACTAACTGTCTCATTTGAACGTCCATTGTATTTTTTCTTATTATTAAAAAAACGACGTATATCAGTCGTGGACTGCAACTGCAGTCCAGAATATCTTAAACGCAATGAATCATCATATGAGGCGATTTCGAACCAGTAAACATTGATATGATGAATGTTTTCAACAGAAACACGATACTATTATTATAATTCGTGTACGAACAGCTGAGAAGGAGCTTTTTACTTTTTACATATTTTTCAATTTGTCGGTCATTGAAACTTCCTATTAAGCAAGAAAATGATTTTCCAACAAGAATTTAATCCACAACACTTATTTTCACCAATCCACTTGGCAGCTGCTCAAATATTTAGTCCGAAAGCAACCACTGTGCTTTCACGTGAAGAACGACTTCGTCTACGTAAAGAAGAACGTCGTAGACGTAAACTACAAGAGCTGAAATCAGGATGTAAACGATTTATAGCAATGCTTTTTTCGCATATAGGATTATCTGGCCTTGTTATTGCCTATACAATAATTGGTGGTATTATGTTTGGTAATATTGAACGAAGAAAAGAGAAAGAAACTAAAACACTTGCCTATGAGTATAGAATTGAAGCTTCGAATGAATTTTTACACTTATTATTTAGTGAATTACAAGTCTACCTGACAAAACAACCACAATCGTGTAATAACACCATTGCCTTTATGAGTTTTATTCTTGATTTTTTAGAGAAAGAGAAACCAAAAAAATCGATAACCTCCACTGTAGACGGTTTGGTGGAAAATTCAAATTTTACTATGAATGCAACAAGTTTTATGAACACCACACAGTTTTTTACCACAGATAACGCAAATACCACCATTGAACAAAGTTTAAATGACACAGTGTATACTAATTCTTCAATAAATATGACAAATCTAATCGATAGTAAATCTTCTATGATTACCGATCTTAGAAATATAACACAATCGATAACTGAACAAGAATTAGATCATATAAGAGGTGAAAATTCACTGAAAACACAATTTATTATCTTATTACGTGGACGTATACAAATAGCCTTGATGGAGTTTACTAAACGTGTTGTCGATTTTATAGAAACTGATGGTTGGAATGGTAATGATTCTATGGAAGACTTAAAATGGTCATTTGCTGGTTCTGTCTTGTATGCTATCACTGTTATTACAACAATTGGTGAGTCCGAGAATTACGTAAACGTTGGTGATATACTTTTTGCTTCTACATTTTTGATTGTAATATTGAGATAAGGCTTTCTTGTTAAATGATGTTTTTAGTAATACTGCATATATACGGTGTGTCGGTGGTGGTAGGATACTCGCCAAAGACCTAGGTGAGTAGGGAATCGATCGCCGGCCGACGCCTAGTAAGTAGTAAGGTCAACAAAGAAGGAAGGTTGAACGTGTAGCTATCAGATCTATCCTCTAGCTTGAAGTCCTATGTACTGCTGGGGATTCAGAGGAATGAGATAACAAATAAAATAAACGATGCGAAAGCAAGTTTATACAGAGATAAATAGTCTAGAAAAATAAAATCACTTATCAATAAAATTGATCGTAAGTTACATGTTGCATTATAACTTTATATGATTGGTCCCCTGGGTCCCCAGTGGAACACAGGGCTTCCAAGGCACATCTCTACTTCGCCCTGTCCTTTACTGCCCTCTTCAGCTGGCCCAATAACTGGCCATTAGCTTTCATCTCCTCCACGTCACACGATCGTCTCATGTAACACTCACACCCACGCTTAACTCGTCATTTCCCATTTCGTTTCCACTTGAGGCATTGCCTGACATGCGATATCACCCAACGGTCTCATCAGCACGTGTCCGATCCACCTCCATTTCTTCCAACAATTTTACTGAACAACAAGTTTCCTGAGTGGTTTGTTCCCATAATTTCTTGATACTAATTCTTTCTGATCTTCAACATGAAGCCAAGAAGGACGCTGTCAATAAAAGTTTGCTAAGTTTCTGGGTCACATAGAAGAAGTGACTTAACACTGGTGATGAAAATCCAGGCATATTTTCCGTATACCGTTCGCCAGTGATAAAGTTGTGTTTTTGACCTTAAAACGACTTTGGCTTTGAACGCTGTCATCTGTACCGTCTGCCTATAACTAGAATTATTGGTGCCTAGATGAATGACCTCTTTAAAATTTGTGTAAATTGCTATATAGTCCTATTTATACTCTAGGGAAACGAGTGTTTTTGAAAACGCATTCACTATATCATTGTCTAAAGTAATGAAATGAAACGAAATTCTCAATAGGACAGAAAAAAAAGAAAGTAAAACTACTGCCTGAGATTTATAACGCATGAGTAGTTGAGACAGTTACGTCAAATGCAAGTTAATTTAAGTAAAATTTTGCCAATAAACAGTATTTCTTTCGTTCAAAATAAAATCTGTAATATTAATACAGTGGAAGTCTTCAAAAAAAAATTTTAACTTTATCGTTTGACGAGAGAAAGAGAAAGAGACCAATTTACCGGGGAAAGGAGTTATTTTGTTGTTATTATCATTATGCTTATAATTGAGAAAGTACGTTGTGATTATGCAAAATACTACCCTAGTAGGAGAGCAAAACAAAAATATTCAAACTGTTTCCTGTTTGAAAAAAATACTGGCGAAAATAGTATGGCATGACAAAATCTTTAAAAGCTTTAATTTCTCAATTTGGTTAACCAAACCAGCCTGAGTTTGTCAACTAACAATAGCAGAACCGATGTGAGAATAGAATTTCGACACTGTGGTAGAGTATAATCCCATTATGTAGACATAGAGCGTCAAGCCCTCGAGTGGAACCTCAAAAGGAAGCGGCGAGTGCGACGTCTAAGAGTGAAATGGAGTAGATCGTGTGAAGACGAGTTGAAACAGCATGGACTAACATGGATTCTGGTGAAAAGTACAGCAGAAGACAGGAGCAAGCGGAGACGTGCAGCTGAAGCCCTATGTTCCACTAGGAACCCAAGGAAGCAATAATAATATAATAATAATGTAGAATATTTATTTAGATAAAGTCTCATAGTGTTTTACAGTAAAATTTACTATATTTATAATCATATCGAGGTACTCACACGACTTTCGAACGTCATTTATATAATTCCATTGTTTCTCATCTCATAATTCAATCGGTAGTAGTAGTTTCCATACATCTGGTGTTAGGAGTGAGTCATTCCTGTTGAGTGAACAAAAAGTTACAGTGTTTGAATAAAGAAAGAACGAACATATTTGTAGGATAATATGAGTTCTTTTTATTTTGTGTATTCTCTTCAACTGCATACATCCTAAATAAATCAGTTATATGTTTTTCAAAATTTCTGAAAATACTTCTAACAATGATTTCAGGTTATAGATAGACAATATTTTTTTAATTCCCTTACGTTCTCAGTGGAATATAGGGCTTAAAGCTGGGGCCTTAAAGTTTCGGTAGCAGTGGTGTTTATTTTTATGGGATGGGGTTGCTGGCATCATCTCCAACCTTCCCTCTTTGCCAGTCTTATTATTGACTTAGCAAGGTAAAGGAGTGCATCAGCCGGGGATTGAACCTCGAACCAACTGCGTGGTTTTTTTTATCTATTTTGATTACAGCTTGATTCCACACCGTATTTTTAGTACAGGTATGGAATTTTCAGCATGAATATCGGTAGCCCAAATTTTCCTGGCCGACCATAAATATCAAGTGTGCATCGGCGGGGGCTCGAACCCCGGACCATGTGCATGGTCGGCGAGAGTCTTAACCACTGTGCCACTGACGCACAAACAAATCAAAGAGAATAAAGACAACCAGTCACCGTGGTAAGGGAAGACTGATAACTGCTTCTTTTTGAACACGTAGATTGAATATCAGACGTTCGACAGCGATTGTTTTGGTAAACGTGAGCAGAACTGAACTATTTTCTCTACTGATCATTTTAAAAGATTTCGTGATGTGTACCTCATGACCTGCACTCATGAGATGTATAGCAATAGTGCTATTGTAAGCAATTGTTCCGTTCTAAAGTGTGCCTTTCTTTCTGTTCTCCCAATGTAAATGCTCCCACAGATACATGTAAATTTGTATACACATAACTGTTGTCGCTAACTGTGAAAATGTCATCTATGTACTTTGATTCTACTTGTAAGTTTTCAATGATCAACGTTAATGGACCGTTCTTGAGGTTTGCCTTGAAACTGTCAGTTAGTAATGGATCCAAGGAGGATCCTAATGCGATCCCATTCTTTTGTCTGTAAACAGTTTCGTCTGAATTAAGCTGTAGATTAGAAATGCAACTCAGTATCATATCTTTCAAGTACGATGCTGAATTGGTTATTATCTACATATTTACAGGTAAAACAGACAATTTCCGTAATTAAAACATTGGTGAAAGGTGCTTTTATGTTAAAAGGTAGCATAATTTTGTTAGTAACATGCATGTCTTGTATACGATCGATGAAATGGAAAGTGTCCGAAAGCCGGGTACATGCATACATGTTTCCTGAAAGGTTCCAGAATATCGGTCAGACGTTTAGCAATACAACGAGAAAGGAGGCGTAACATTATCTAGAACTGGACGAAGTGGGTGGTGAACTTTTTGTATTTTTGGTAACCCATGCAGTCTTGATATTATCGAACTAATTGGTCGGCTATGATCATAAATATCCCAGCTAAATGACTGATCGGTGTTCATTCATTCCAAGACGTCTGTAAGCTGCTTCTCAATCAGTTCAGTTTTATTTCTTTCTTTGAAAGGTCGAGAAAATCTATTTTTCTGCATTTAATCTTTCTGGGAACAAAAGAATTACGCCCCACACTTTTCAGCACAGGTTATTCGTAGTTCTTTTGTTATTTCTTAGCTGTTTTAATTCTTCTTGGTGTCGTTTTTTTTAGGTGATAGGGAAATTTTGTTTTTGTGCTCGTTCATAATGTTATTCGTCTTATCACGTAAATCTAATACACTCATTCAACTCATCTTATATATTGACTAATATTAACAACTACGATTGTGACAATTCATCCCTTGTTTTCACTAACCTCTTTCATAAAATAAATACTGTATAAAGTTGAGATTGTAAGGTTGAGGAGGAATAGGGACTCGTTGAAAAGATCCTTTTCCCTCAACAACTTGGTTTCTTCTAGTGAAATTCATTTGTATGTTAATACATTTCTTTAAAACCTAATCTGATTTCAGACTATGCATTTCCGAGGAGAAATTTATAAGAAACTAAATAAAGATAAACAATCAAACGCTATTTTCTGACCATGTATGCACGATATTAACTTAACCAGAAGCGCAGAAAAATTGTAACATGCTTCCTTTCCATAGAAATATGACCACAACATTATTCTTTGGAGCCGTAGAATGCCTATCATCCAGTTCTATCTCACTTTGTCATTTAAACGATGAAACAGAATATTTAATTCTTCCAGGTCTTAGAGGAAGATATGATAAAGCCATAATGTATCGGCACAACTGTTAAGAACTAAACAAAGACGTGAAATAGAAAATCTGTTCTAATAATCAATTACCTTGATGAAACCTTTATAAAGTAGATAGAGATGTATATAGCTAATGGTCACAAGTTGTTTTAATCTATCGTTGTCTTATCTTTTAGCAGAAACAAACCCTAAACCTGCTAAAAAGATGCTTTTTTGTCGGATTGTCTGAAGGTTTTAAAAATATCTTTTAGTATCTTAAGAATCTTTTTAGGATTTGACTCAGTATTATTATATAACATGGGGGTTGCTTGAGGAAGGTGTAAATTCGATGAATGTAGGATGAGTGAGACTCACTGGGCTTTTTTCTCGTAGGGTGTTGACTACAAATCATATATAAACTCAATATAGACCTATTCTTATTATTTTCTCTGGTTCCGAGTGGGACATATGCTTTCAACGACAAATCTCCACTTTGTTCTATTTTCTGCTGTCCTCTTTAGCTACCTCCACGATATTGCCCATAATCTCTCATCTCCTCCTCCAAACACAATCTCTTGCATGTCACCCTTGCATTGAAGACTCACTCATCGTCTTCTAGTCGGATTACACTCGAGTGATAACTTGTGTGCGCTTGATTTCATTCGACTGTCTCCTCAGCGAATGCCCAAGCAATCTCTATTTTCTCGTACATATCTGTTGAGTAGTCGGCTCTTCGTTAGTTTGTTCCTAGTCAGAGTTTCTCGTTCCTAATTCTTTCT